GGGGCTCCTACATAATAATAATAATAATAATAATAATAATAATAATAATAATAAATATCATCATCATCATCATCATCTTGTTTTTCTCTCATAAATGAAACCCAAATCACATACTCTGAGCTCATGTGATAAGCAATCACATTCCTTATGATTATGTGAGCTTTGATAAGTTACTTTTTGGGGCTACAACCTCCACAGTCCCCAAGTGGTTATGATGGTTAGAAGTATGACAGTCAAAAAAGTAACTTTTTCCAAGCTTTGACTATGGCAGAGCACAAACATGCAAATCACTGTTTACTTATTTTCTCTCTTTCAGGACAACAAAGCCTTAGCATTTGGATTGTACAAAGCAAAACTATGCTATGCCTGTGAGTTCACCGCAACTCACATTTCTTCATTGGACACCATTATGGATTCCAGCAATGACTCCATGATCCTCACCAGGGAAGAGACACTACATGACCTTTTCTCATCCCCAACCAATGCCTCCAACTTGTCCTCTCCTTGTCCGGTCCTCCGCTCCAACTACCAGTTTGTGGTCATCCCAACGCTTTACTGCTTCATCTTCATCCTAGGACTGGTGGGCAATAGTATCGTTGTTGCAGTGTTGTGTTGGCAACGGAAGCCAAAGACGGTAGCCAATGTCTACATTGTCAACTTGGCGGTGGCCGACCTCCTTGCCTTGGTTACTGTCCCCTTCTGGGCCGCTTACTACGCCTACGGGTACAACTGGCGCTTCGGCTCAGCAATGTGCAAGATCTCTGGCTCGCTCCTCTCTCTTACAATGTTTGCCAGCATCTTCTTCATCACTTGCATGAGTGGCAACCGCTACAAGGCCATCATCCACCCTTTCCGGTCCCAACAAGGAACTCCCAAGAAGGCATCGGTTGTGGCCTTCATAGTGTGGGGATTAGCCGCTTTGGCTTCCTTGCCCACTTTCTACTTCAGGAACACCAAGTACATCCCAGAGTGGGACGTGACCGCTTGCATCATGGCCTATCCATTGGAGAAGTATTCCGAATGGTCAGCCGGGACAGCATTGGTGAAGAACACATTAGGGTTCATCATCCCGCTCTCTGTCATCATCGTGTGCTATGTTTCCATCCGGATCCATTTGATGAAGGCCCGGGGGTTCAGGAAGACCAAGCAGATGAGGGACCACGTCTTGAAGCTAGTAGCTGCGGTGGTGGCGGCCTTCTTGATCTGCTGGCTCCCCTTCCACATCTTGACCTTTCTGGATGCCTTGTTTTGGATGGAGGTGATCAGCGACTGCCGGGTCACCTCCGCCATTGACGCTGCCTTGCCTTTCGGCCTCTTGATGGGCTTCACCAACAGCTGCATCAACCCTTTGTTGTACTACTTCATTGGAAGGCAGTTCCAGGACAGGCTCCAACATCTGCTGAAGCTGAGCCTCTACCAGTTTAATAGCAATCGGGATATCTTTCGTGCCGGCAAAATCGACTCGGTCAAAACGGTTGAGTCTTTGGTGGATGCTGAACATGGAGGAGGTGCCGAAAGGCCACAAACTGACCCATTATGCGTTTCCTAAACAATATATGGAAATATTTCAGATATTCTGACACTTCTATGGATGTTCTGGTCCCTCTTTTATGAGTGAATGTACACTGTAGAATGAATGTAGGTTAATACCACTTTAACTGCCGTGGTTTAATGCTATGGAAGCCTCAGAGTTGTAATGACTCAACACTATGGAAATATGGGATTTGCAGATTTACAAAGTATCTGGCCTTCTCTGACTGACAGACAGCACTAAATCACGGGTTTTAGTGAGGGGCAAAAAATCC